AAGTTATTTTCAGTACCTAATTTCTTCAGTTGAGCGTGAGAGGTTGATTTCCTAATATTAATTCAATAACTATCGAAATCCCCAGATATCATTATTTTCCTCGTTATTTTCAGCAGATCTGGCAACGCAACCACATGCGATGTCGAGCGGGTGCGCATTTTTGCGTGAGCGGGTGATCATCTGATCTTCTGTGTAGTGCTATCAACTCAGCCATTTTATGGCTAGTTCTAGCCATTTTTGAACTCATCTATAAAAAAATTGCATCTAGCCATTTTTTCTAGCTATCTTCTATTCTGACTTTCTATGAAAATACATAATATATTTTCATATTCATGAAATTCACATAGATAGTTCATTATATTCACGATATAATCCATTTTAATTTCTAAGTCAAATTCAGACCACTATCTATTTCTATGGATTTTGTCTCGGATTTTGTATAACATGCTTCGTGCCATTTTGACGAATTGACAAACAAACAACAAAACATCACGTCATACGTGAGGTCATACGTCAATGTCAATACTACTTGAGTCTAGAGTAGAGATTGTATTCTATGGTCATATCGGGTCAAATCTTCTTTATGTATAAAAATGAATGTGTCCTTTATAGAATCGTAAACGGCTTGACCGATTTCTCTGAATCTTTTTTGTTGTGTTTGTTGTTGTCAGGAGAAGGTTCCTATGGGACAAAAAATTAAGAAATTCAAGATGGCGGATCCAATATGGCGGACGCATTTCGTAATTATAATCCAATTCCATTCAAAATTGGTATCTGGTTTTTTTTGCGGTCGGAAATTATGATTCTTTTGCCAAAACTGGAAAATTCAAGATGGCTGATCCAATATGGCGGACGTGTTTTGTAATTATGATCTGATTCTATTAAAAATTGGTATCTAGGGGTTATTGGGGTCGAAGATTAGATTCCTCCGTCATAATTAGAAAGTTCAAGATGGCGGATCCAATATGTCGAACGACTACGAACGAAAAACTAATGAAACACGCTTTCATAGATAGCCAAACAAAAAAGAAGTACTATTTATTCTCATAGTAATTTAGAAAACTAATGAGATAGATTACCGAACTGAAAGAAGTAGAAAATAAATAGTAGTTTGAGAAACTAAGCAAACACGCTTCCATGGTTAGTCAAACTAAGTTAAAAGTAGAAAATAAAATATTAAAAGTGTGTTGTTGAATATTTAACTGAAAAAATATTTTCTAGGACATAGCAAAATTAGCAAACAACATTTATTGCTAGGCAGCTATAATAAATAAAATGACTCGAAATAAATTCGATATTTGTGTATACTGTCTTTCCTTCAAATTTAGTAGTAGTTAGTATTAAATAAAAATTTATTTGTGTAACATATTAGAACCCTAATTTGAGGGATTGTTACACACAAAATGAAACTCGTCAGGATATAAATCCAAATCTATTTATTCATATTCCATGTCGACTGAGACGATGATAACGACTGGTTCCTCGGAGTTCATATACATTAGTTTTTGCAGTAAAGTAAAAAGAGATCGACGTGCTAGATATACAGTGGCTCAAATAAAATAAATTCCTATTATCTATTATGACATGGATGGTATATCCTGCATATGTCACAATTTGGAAGGTCATATATTCGTAGTTCATGGTCAGATTTTTTGTTCTTGCTAGAAAAATTTCAAAAAATGGTTGGATTTGCCAAAAAATGGCTATAAAAATGTTTGGCCTGCGGCGCGCTTTTATTTTTAGCCATAATTTAGCTATTTTTCAACATTCATCTATAGCCGCTTTTGGAATTGGCAGTTGGCAACTCCTGTGGCGGGTGTGTGAAGAATACGCTACTTCATTCAAAATATTTGTTTCTACAAACGTCAAATAATGACAAGGTTCGCGCATTTATGGCAAATTGCGAAGTGACACTTTTTTTCAGTTTCCTACGGTACCGTGTTACCTTGCACAAAACAATGCGCGAAGTAAAACAGTGCGCGAAGTACCTACTTCGCGCATTGTTATGAAAAATATATGAGATATTTATATTTCAACTTCATGGTCCTCAATCGAGCAAACATCCACGAAATCATTTATTTCTGGATATTCAATAATAACTGTTTTATCTCTTGGAGCGAACGAAAGGAAATTTTTATTATGTTCGTGGAACAACATGCGTACCTTGGGGGGATAGAGGGAGGCCTTTTGAGCATGTTCAACACTATTTTTTATATCAAGCTGAGCATATTTTTACTCTCGAACTATATTTTTTGACGTTTGTAGAAAAAATTTTGTTTGCAACTCGAGCGCGAAATACTTTGGTCATCTCGACTATTTTTCAGATCAGATCTCGATCACCAAAGTAGCATTTCGCACTCTAGATACAAAAATAACTATTTCTACAAACGTCAAAAAATGACAAGGTTCGCGCATTGATGACAAATTGCGAAGTGACACTTTTTTTCAGTTTCCTACGTTACCATGATGATACCTTGCACAAAACAATGCGCGCAGTAAAACAGTGCGCGAAGTATACCTACTTCGCGCATTGTTATTTAAAATATATGAGATATTTATATTTCAACTTTATGGTCCTCAATCGAGCAAACATCCACGATATCATTCATTTCTGAATGTTCAACAATAATCTTGTTTTATCTCTTGGAGCACACGAAAGGAAATTCCTATTATGTTCGTGGAACATCGTGCGTACCTAGGGAGGATAGGGTGAGGCCTTTTAAGCCAGTTCAACATTATTTTTTATATCAAGCTAAGTATATTTTTACTATAGAACTATATTTTTTGACGTTTGTAGAAAAAATGTTGTCTGCAACTCGAGCGCAAAATACTTACGTCATCTCGACTATTTTTTTGGCTACGCCTCGTTAAAAAAATCAGATCTCGATCACCAAATTAGCATTTTGTGCTCTAAATACAAAAATAACTATTAATCAATGCAGTGTTGCCGATTCTACAAGAAAGTATAGTAGCAACATTGATATTTCAAATGAAACACCCTGTATTTTATCGCATTTTTAGATTCTCCTTGAAGAGCTAATTTCATCAAATTTCATACTTCTATCCAAAATTATTACAGAGATATAATAGGGTGTTCAAAATCGAGATTTTTCAACTTTAGGATTTTTTTTGTGTCGAAACTATTCATTATCGGTCGAAACGGGTCACATGTCCCTATCTCAACTTTCGATTCACTATTTACTGATATTTAATCGGAATAGATACAGGGTGATTGGGTGATTCAAGATTCACAATTATGATCACTGATCACACGAACATTTCCGGAAGTAATTTGACCTCTAGTGAAAATATCTCATTGCCCGGACATTATGAATAATGATCGACGTCGAGTAGACAATTTGAGAATATTTTATTCATATTTACACGAGTATTTACAGTACTATTTTTAGGGAGGAGGGAAAATATCCGTCCTGCATAAAAAAGAAGACTTGCTTTTTTTAAACCATCTAAATGAACCTTCTTCCTAAGAAGACAGTACTCATTTCAGGAAGGATGGAAAATATCCCTCCTGCATAAAAAAGACACTTCTAACCTTACTCGGCATAAATGAACCTTCATTGAAAATGAATGTTGATTGGCCCGCGAGAATTACACAATACGCACGTTGCCAAATTGCTGTCACTTAATCAAAGTGCCCAGAAAATAATAGCAGTATTTATAATGACCGGGCAATGTTATATATTATCGTAGACAAATACAAAATTATTAAATTGCCAGATGGTGTTGGGTACTTTATGAACTGCTCGGGCATTATGAATAATGCCTGGAATTATCAAGTTGCCCGTAACATATATACTTCATTGAGGTTATCTCTTGTCAGTTTTTGAAAAATTTAGATTTTTTGGTATAGATCTTAGGCAGGTGTTGAAGCTGAAGCTGACTTAGAGATAACCTCATTACGCCTCATTATAAAGTAGTTTAGAAAAATAAAATACAGGGTGTTCCATTTAAAAAATATTAGTTCATGTAAAATTTTTTAGTTTACGATACCTTTGTGCATTTTTTAGTATTGGATTTTGAGTTCCCATAAAAAATACTTCACTTTTGTCCGAGCTTTTGTCCATTTGAATGTTTCTGTAAGACCAATATTATAACTGAAATAGCTATTGAGTAAAATATAAACATTCACCCGGTACATACACAGAGTGAGGACGTAAAAAGTCCTCCCCCCGTCCCCCGATCGGTTTTGGAGCGAAACAAGCTAGCGAAACATTTTACTCCACCCGACATTTTATTCATACAATCATTCTGAACCAATCAAATCACCAAACATGCCGACCAATAAATAATTTTTTTCATCCCCAATTACGTATGAATTATTTTATCTTCAGCTGAAGACTGAGTATTTGTCCTAACAAGCACTTTATCCCCTTCTTCGAATTCTATAATCTTGTTATCTAACCCGTTGTTGATTTCTTGACCACCGAGTTGACCACTATAGGCTATATATACCGAGGGCTGTATTATATACAGGGGTCGGCATAAGTCAGGCAACCAATTTGCATCAGGCAACCAATTTGCATTAAAATAAATAAATGCAGCGTCAAGATATATTTATTAAAAAAAATACAAAACGAGTTCGAAAATTGTTGTTGAAATTCGGTAAACATAGTGTCGTAATCCGCGTTCGTACGCAGATACGAGGTTACAAAAAAAATTCTTTCTTGAAGCGCAAACTTGTATCGGTTATTCATTTTGAAAACGTGTCTATTCGACGAGCACACAGACACAACTATCTGACGCACGAACATGCTCAGGGTCGATCTTTTTCTACAGCGTTGCCAGACTTATGAGCGTTGCCGGACATATGTTGAAATTTCGAGAGCGTTGCCTGACTTATGCCGATCCCTGTATATAACTAGGTGCTATGTTGATAATCAAGGTGTTTCCAGAGGTTGTTCTTTATCGGTCATTCACTCTTCAGTTACCAGAAGTGGTGAATACTGCTTTTCTATTGATATTTTTGCATTAAATTTCAGAAGAAGAATGGCTCTGGAAGAGATACAAGATACAAGGGCCAAAAACGAGTGGCAGTCGATTATTCATTGGAGCATAATAATGGTGGACCTTCGAAATCTATTAAAACAGATAAAGAAAGGCGACAGAGTTCCAGTTCAGACAAATCTTCCTACATGGATCAGCAGAAAGAATCAGGTAATAAAAATAATGAATTCGCTTTTACCCAACATTGAATTGCTAATATATTTTTTTCTGCAACCGACACAAAAGTCGTCCATTTTAATACCAAAATTAGCTCTTGAATTGACGTTTCTATTACTGACACAAACATATAATTATGTTGCTATAGGCAACACTTTTAGTTCCTAGAAGCAGAAGTAGTTGAACTTCAGCTCCCAGGAACAAAAAAGAATGTAATTACTAGGTCAACAAGAATAAATAACCTTGTTACGGTTGGTTATTCGGGTTGAAACGCATACCTGATTTGTTTCCGATTTCGGCATTTCATACCCATGAGGGAGATATAAATACACCATGTTACTGGTACTGGTACTGGTACTGGTGGGGGACGTTTCCACGTCAGCAACTAGTCCCCAATGGGACCTTTTTGCCAACCCCAAGTGTTTTTCAATGACTGATGTGGTTCGCTCAAGAGAGCTGGCTAACATCCTTTTCAGGCACCGCCCATCAGCTCTCTTTTCAGAGTTTTTCAGCTGTGTTTTGTAGGCTAGTAATGTACTCACTACCATATGCGCAGTGGCAGGCCTGCTAACTATCATCGTTAACCCCCGAGACCGAGGTCTACTTAAGCAGCTGGCCCGCTCTCACGCTCAGCTGGTAGTTTTCCACACCCACCTACATACACCGTCCTACTTCTTCTCTGATGCTCACAACCACATCATCATATCTTTCTGCGTGTTCTGTGTAGGCTTTGTTACTAACTCCATGCGCCACTTTAGGAGCAGCACTGTTAATTGGAACGCAACAGCGAATCGTGCAGGACTATCCCCAGCCGATGCTCCGAAACTTTACAATATTTAATTCGTAAATAAAATATTGAAAAAAGTTCCTTGCCCGTGCTGGAAATCGAACCCACGACCTTGCGGTCGTGAGACGGACGCTCTTCCACTGCGCCAATCCCGGCCCAATACACCATGTTAAGTATTCCACATACTTGACGATCTCTATTTCATTCGTATATTTTTGGGATGGATAACTTGTTTTTGAATAATCACGGCCAGCAATACTTTTTTGTCTCACACAACGATATTGTTTAACTTCATTTGTTTACCGAGCCAAACACAGTGGAGTATGGACTAGTATGGAGAGAAATGAGTAATCTCTATTATTATTGTTGATATGCTCACTAACCTAACATTTTCCACGTCTTTTTCCAATGCCTGGCACTGACGCGGTATTTGCTATTTGGGCTGACACCTGGTCTATACACAAATGGGTCACTCTGATTTATATAGAATCTACAATTCGAACATCCTTGAAAATTGAATATACCTGATCTGGAAGGTAGAATATTCTCACCACACGGATTATTTGTTGCTTTGCATACATATTGCACGGCACCCACGTTTCTGGTATAGTATTGAATTCGTGCCTGTGGTATCTGATGACATATGATGCATGTCAACACAAATTGTAACAAAGTAAAGTAGTCTGAGATCTTGCTTCTATATCTACTTACTCTTATTATTATAATAAGGGTATTATGATAATCTGTCAAGTGAGTCACATTAGATTGGTGGTTACTTCACATATGTATTTTAGTTAATTCTTTCGGTTGCAGAAAAAATAGCATGTTTCATTCGGATCAAAAGTGACTCTGTTTGACTCTCAAATTTTGCTTTCGCTAGGCTTTCCTAGACGCTCCGCCTCGCAAATGCAAAATTCGCTTGTCAAACAAAGTGTCACGTTTGATCCCAATTAAACAATCTATTATTTGTTGATTTTGTTTTAGAGATCGATAGCGACAATGACGCTCAACAGATAGAAGACCAACCTTCGGATATCATTGATATCGACAGCTTGAATGAAGATGATAAATTTGTTGGACATTCTGTAGGTGAGCAAGGCGGTCTGAGTAGTTGGGCGAAGAAAGAGAGGAAATTCAAATGTGATTTGTGCCCGGGCAGGTAAGTGCTAAGTGACATAACATTATGTTTGGAATGAAATCCTAGGGAAAAGTAATGAGATTTTGTGAAAATGTACTGGGATTGTTGTGTGTGTTAGGATTTTGAGTTGCAACAATTTGTTTCTTCGTCGACCTCTACAAAAAATCACATCTCACGTTCTGATTTCCGAACGAAAAACCGACTATTTCCAAAGGCGAGTACTTTTCGTCCACAAACAATAAGTTTTCGTCCGCTAACACTTTTTGTCCGCTGCAGGGTTGCCAGTTTTAATAAATTTTCAGCATTAACTCAACATTAACTTGACACTTATCATTAACTTAACGTTAACTTAACAATAATTCAACGCTGACTTAACTTCTACTTAACATTTTGGAAATTTCGCTCGTTGTCGACTGCTAACACGCAACCTTGTAACCAGTATTGAGTATTAAAATATGATAATTCAGTGTTATAATCATTTGATACATCATGTAGACCAAACAAAAACCACAAGAGCGTACGGGAATATTTCCACACTGCTTGTTCAACTTTCGCATTGCTATTGTGACATTATATGAGATACATTTTAATCAACAGCACAGTGCTTTCATATAGATGGTCGTAGGAAAGTGCCTATTCTTTAAAACCATACTTTATCTAGTATGCGCGTCCGTTTTGGGAAAATTTCGGCTGAATTGATCACAAAAATATAAAAAACAATTCCGCAAACGACAAGAAACACGAAATCGTCAATGAAGTTGTTATTCGAGAAGTTGAAAGAGAGAGAGAGCCAAAGAACCAAAGAACACTCAAACTTTTTTTCATTTGATACATTGTTTATACAAGCGTGCGTTATTCGCACGTGATTTGGTTGATTTTCCAGCAACATGGCGGGAAATTTTTTTCCACACTAGTGCGGGTAAAAAGATGATATGATATTATCGCATGGATGGTGATGGAATATGAAAGTTTAAGCTTGTTTGTTGCAGTATTGAGTATGTTTGTTCAGAATCATCCATCAAATTGCACTATTGTGAAAATTAAGAAATATTGGGAAATAAAAAAATCCCCTATAGACTTGGATTGATTTGATGTATTGTTGTCATGCCGATTAAACCACAAATTAGTTTGTAATTGTCGGAGTGACAGATACAGCGTTACCATCATTTTCGATTCAGTGAAATTGCTACAATTCGCGGTCGCCAAGGTCATTAGATGACGTTGGGATGACATGCAAATCTATAGGAGAACATCCTAACTCTTGGCATCTCGTCTTGGCATAGATTGAAACTTAAATATGTTTTTCTACTTCTGCTATGAAAAGTAGCGCATTTCTCATAGCTTCCTTAGTTTCAAAACCATGTATTGCCCATACCACAGATTAACAAACCTTTTTGTTAATCTGTGCTCATACTGTGAGAAATATTTTTTCTCACGGCACTTTGCCAACACCACATACATTATTTCCATGGAGAATCAACAAAAATCGTCCAAAACTTGGCTGCTGTTCAGCTTTGAATAGTTGTCACAACTGTCAGAAGAAGTTTTTTAAATTCTTTAGGGTACTTCTCATTAGTGTTTTTGATAGAAATCACATTTTCCATCAAATATTGTTCCAACATTTCATAATAAATAATATGATGATTACACCGAGATGTGACGATTTTGATATAATACACCGATAGAGACAGAGATAATGGAAAAAGCTGCGAAAGTTGTATTTGTTTCCGGAAATTTCAAGGAAAAGCTATGAATTGGCATACAGGTACGAAAAATTTATGAAATCTAAAAAATTACAGAAATAAAATCTTTTTCGGAAAGTGCACTTTTTTGAAATACTTTGAGGAACTAGGAAAGGCGTCTACTATTTGGTCACAATATTCAATGTGGCATAGTGCCACATAATAAAATGAATACCAATAAGTTACATTACCCGGATTCTTTGAAAGAGTGCAGTTGTAGAAAAAGTATAGTGTGCAACATGTGAGGAAAAGCTCTTTTCTCATTCGTGCGTTTGCATCACTCGCCCTTCAGGCTCGTGCCACAAACTTTCGCACTCGTGAGAAGAGTTTAACTTTTCCCACTTGTTGCACAATATACTATTTTCCACTTCTACTATGAAAAGTAGCGCATTTCTCATAGCTTTCTTAGTTTCAAAACCATGTATTGCCCATACTGTGAGAAATATTTTTCTCACGGCACTTTGCCAACACAACAAACATTTCCATGGAGAATCAACAAAAATCGACCAAAACTTGGCTGCTGTTCAGCTTTGAATAGTTGTCACAACTGTCAGAAAAAGGTTTTTAAATTCTTTAGGGTAGTTCTCATTAGTGTTTTTGATAAAAATCACATTTTCCATCAAATATTGTTCCAACAATTCATAATAAATAATATGATGTATATACCGAGATTTGACGATTTTGATATATACACCGCCAGAGACAGAGATAATGGAAAAAGCTGCGAAATTCGTATTTGTTTCCGGAAATTTCAAGGAAAAACTATGAATTGGCATATAGGTGCGAAAAATTTATGGAATCTAAAAAAAATACAGAAATAAAATCTTTTTCGGAAAGTGCACTTTTTTGAAATACTTTGAGAAACTAGGAAAGGCGTCTACTCTTTGGTCACAATATTCAATGTGGCATAGTGCCACATTATAAAATGAATACCAATAAGTTACATTACCCGGATTCTTTGAATGAATGCAGTTGTAGAGAGAGTATAGTGTGCAACATGTGTGTGATGTATATACCGAGATGTGACGATTTTGATATATACACCGCCAGAGACAGATAATGGAAAAAGCTGCGAAAGTTGTATTTGTTTCCGAAAATTTCAACGAAAAAACTATGAATTGGCATATAGGTACGAAAAATTTGTGGAATCTAAAAAATTACAGAAATAAAATCTTTTTCGGAAAGTGCACTTTTTTGAAATACTTTGAGAAACTAGGAAAGGCGTCTACTCTTTGGTCACAATATTCAATGTGGCATAGTGCCACATTATAAAATGAATACCAATAAGTTACATTACCCGGATTCTTTGAATGAGTGCAGTTGTAGAAAGAGTATAGTGTACAACATGTGGGGAGAAGCTCTTTTCTCACTCGTGCGTTTGCATCACTCGCCCTCCAGGCTCGTGGCACAAACTTTCGCACTCGTGAGAAAAGTTGAACTTTTCCCACTTGTTGCACAATATATTATTTTCCGTTGTGTTTGATGTCATCGCAACGTCATCTAATGACTTTGGCGACCACGATCATAAATGTTATCAAAAACTTCCAGCTACAGATGCGATACAGATGCGTTATTGCCAACGAAGTCTTAAGGGAGGTATGAGAAGCAATACACACGTTTCATATTTAATGAGAACACCAAATGAGATATTTTTGACCAATTTCCTAAAAATGTCTGAGACGTGCTGGCTTGGCGTTGTTCCGGTCAACGGCAGTAGGATGCGGGAAAGTATCAGTTTCCGCACTTGTTAGGAAAATCTTTCGTCAGTAGTGTTTTTTCATTAGAAAAAGAAATTCATGAGATAATTAAAAATATCTTGTGTTCTTACTGTTTTTATTTTTAACGTAACGAAAACACAATGTATTCCATTTTCCTTACCTTACTTTTTGAAAGTTTTCAACATTTTTTTGTGATACATAATATGTGAATTGAAAAAGTTATGGGGGGGAGGCAACGAACTTTTGGTACTCAATTTATATGTCTACAAGTTGACTCGCCTATTTTCTATTCGCGGTAGCTAAGGCCATCATCTAACGTTGCGATGACATAAAAACTAGGGAAAACATTATATCATCATGCTCGGAATGGACACATACATACCTCATTTCCCGAAAAGATCATCACCTTCGAAACCCTGGTTCAACAAAAACTGTTCTAGAACTGTTGCCTTGAAACAAACAGCTTACCATCGTTGGCGCAAAAACCCTAACCTCGCGACTAGAGCTGAATACGTTGATGCCAGGAATAACTGCAGCCAAACAATAGATGCTTCGAAAGAAACATACAATGCCAAGATGAGATCGAAACTCATAGATTGCCCCAATGGCTCCCGTTCGTTTTGGTCCTTGCTAAAGCGGTCGGAAGAAATTTCACTAATAGTTCATTTCCACCACTGTCCAAATCCGACGGCACATTAGCAACAACATCGCAGGAGAAAGCACATATTTTTGCAGAGCTGTTCGCAGCAAACTCTACTTTAGATTCTCAAGGAAAACTGCCGCCAGACATTCCACCCGTTGAGAGTCGAATGCCCGAAATCGTCTTCCGTCAACACACTATCAGACGAATTTTGCTTGGTCTCAAAACGAATAAGGCTAACGGTCCTGATGGAATTCCACCCATTATCCTCAGAAAATGTGCACCAGAACTAACACCGATTCTCTGCAAGTTGTTTACCATCTCGTACAGGTCGGGTATTTTTCCATCATGCTGGAAGACAGCTAGAGTCCAACCAATCCCCAAAAAAGGGAACAAGAACCTGCCCAACAACTACAGGCCCATTGCCCTGTTATCAGTAATCTCCAAAGTGATGGAGAAAGCCATCAATATTGAGCTCATCAAATATCTGGAGAGCTCAGGAATCATCAATGATAGACAATACGGCTTTCGCCACCGAAGATCTACTGGAGATCTACTTGCCTACGTCACCCATTTATGGCAATCTTCAATAGAAAAACACGGGGAATCTCTAGCTGTCGCGTTGGACATATCGAAAGCATTCGACCGTGTTTGGCACGAAGGACTCCTCCACAAACTACCATCATACGGCTTACCACCTCAGCTATGCCATCTCTTATCGAGTTTTCTTTCAGGCAGATCGCTTCACGTGGTGGTGGACGGTGTATCGTCTGATACCATTAGCATCAATTCCGGCGTTCCACAAGGATCAATTTTGGCACTAACATTATTCCTGCTTCATATCAATGATCTGTTGGGAGTAACAACTTGCCCCATCCACAGCTTTGCAGATGATAGTACCCTCCATACTGCGTTCTCTTCCAGAATTCCCATTTCTTCCCAGGAAACTAAGAACTCACGGCGCAGGCAGGTCAATGCAGTCAATGAAGATCTTGCTGAAATCACAGCCTGGGGAACAAACAACCTAGTTGAATTCAACGCCACCAAAACTCAAGCCTGCATTTTCTCTAGAAAGGCGGAACTCAGTATGCCCGATATTGTAATGTCTGGCTCCACCATCCCCACCAAGCCCACCATATCTATGCTCGGTATTTCCATCAGCAACACTCTTTCATGGGATAATCATGTCAGATCCATCGCAAAAACTGCTTCACAAAAACTCGGATTCTTGTTCCGTGCGAAAAGCTACTTTACACCTCAACAGCTTCTCATGATCTACAAAGCGCAGATACAGCCTGTTCTAGAATATTGTTCCCACATATGGGGTTCAGCACCAAAACATACGCTGATGCTCTTAGATTCCATCCAGAGAAGAGCCATTCGCCTGGTGGGTGACGCAACACTCACTCACTCTTTGACATCATTGGAACACCGTAGAAAGGTCGGCGACCTTTCACTTTTCTATCGATACTTCCACGGGAAATGTTCTTCGTAAATCTCTGCTATCATCCCTTCTCTAGCAATACCAGTCAGACGAACTAGACAAGCCCAGTCAGCACATCCTTCCGTTGTCAACCTCGAAAGATGTCGAACAGCACTTTATCAAGACTCCTTCATCCATAGAACGGCTAGGCTCTGGAATTCATTGCCTGTGGAAGTATTCCCAACAACATATAATCTCCAAAAGTTCAAAAAAAATTCCAATACCTACCTCCTGTCCCTATCCTCCTTAGGAACGCGCGATGTTCTTTGAACATTATAGGGATTCCCTTTCGTGCGCTCCAAGCGATAAAAAAAAAATTTGCATATCCGATGGACCAGTGTAAAACTCAACATGTGGATTAGAATACTTGTGCGAGCACCACATACGTTTCACACTGATCCATCGGATATTATCTTTCGACAAGGGCGAAATATTCACGGAAATATTGACGCTCTGCCACTAGCTTAGATCAGCTTGTTCCGCGGCACATTTGGATATTCGCAAAAGGGACATTTTTCCTTTTCATATGCTTTTTGTTTCAACTCGTTATCACATGACGGAAGTATCGCTGGAATAATACCAGCAAATAAATCGCTGTGCCGTGGATTTGGCTCAGAATGAGGGGTGGCACAGGTAGGTTTATGAAATCTACCAATCAATTGGCATCGGATGGCATTATTTTTATCTCGTTATCAAATCGCGAAATCGAGTGCAGATTTCCGCACAGGAAAGTGCGATTTTTCAATGGATAAACTACATTGGTTTTACATGCCTTCGGCACATATATCATTTCATACCATGCTCACCATGGGTATCTTTTTAACGGTGAGAGATACGAGGTCGGTTAAATGGCACCAAATGTGGAGTTTGTCAAGGCCAACTATAATGTGAAAAAATATTTTGATAATATCTATTCGTTTTTGTTTTATACGCATAAAACAGATTTTGATCATTTTCATGTCTCCTCCGTAACTTCTTTATTTATGAAAATATTCAAATAGGAATTTCCGAGGAATTTCACATTCTCATGGCAGTTTTTCAAAGTGATTTCGAAAAAAATATGAAATTTATACCAACTCTTCTAGAATTTGAGATATCAGCACCAACTTTAGTTTTTCAAAAGTAGGTCATAGCTCACTATGACTAAGTTACAAATAACTTTTTTTTCTCTTACAGATGATATGTCGCAGTAATAGTTTTGTGCTGATAACAACGGAGTTATCGTCATTTATACAAAAACAAAAAATTATTTGGAAACCGCCATCTTGAATTTATGAATTTTAACGAAAAAATCATGATCTCCGACCTCAAAAACCCCCACTCACCAATTTTGAATGGAATCGGACCAAATCTTGTCCGCCATCTTGGAGCAGCCATTTTTTTTAATTTCAACAAAAATTCCATAATGTATTGTCACCGAAATTATGAACACCTGCTGAATTTCAAGTTAATCGGAGTTATGGAATTTTTGTTGTCACTTAACCGACCTCGTATCTCTCACCGTAAAAAAGATACTCATGGTGAGCATGGTAAGTGGGACACACTGTTTATCGGCATTTCGGCCTTTTTTAATTGATATTATAACATTCATTATTAATTATTATTGTCTGAATTCTCTAAAATCTATATATTCTATAATATAATTTATAATTCTTTAACGTTCAATTTTAAATCATAGAAATAAAAACAAAAATTGCACTGGATTAACCGTAAATTCGGCGAAAAAGAATCGGCTGAATCCAGAAACAACCAAGACACTTATTTTTTACATGATAATTTGCCAAAACTACAATATTCATATGCCTATTTCATGTTATATCTACCATAATTTCTTAAGATTGCCTTATTTAAAATATTACTTTGAATTTAAATATAAAAAAAATGTTTTAAGCTGCTATGGTTGTCTTTATTTATACATCGGCCGATATAGCCGATATATATACTCACATCTATCGGCCGATACCGATAATCGGCCCTCGGCCGATATAGCCGATATATCGGCATCGGTATCGGTCGATCACTAATTTGCAGCCGGCTCTTAGACTATTAGGAATGTTTTCCCGTAGTTTTCATGTCATCACAACGTTAGATGATTATCTTGGCTACCGCGAATTCTATAAAGATATATACAGTGCTTTTGTAAAGTAGGTACTGACTTAATTCATTTTTAGGCAAACTATTCATTTCTGAGAACTCTCCTGAAACGAGTAGATTTTTAATCTCAATTTGCCACACCCATAAGGGAAAATCGAATATACAAAGTTATCCACATTTGAGTAATGACGTCCGAGACAATTTTTCTAAATGGAACACCCCATATATATTACCTACCGAATTCATGCTGGGCTCTTTATGGAAAGCTGATTTAAAAAATATATCATACATAGGGTTTGTATACAGTGCGTCCGTTGATTTCAGTGCTCTGGTGAAGTAGTGGATTCATTATTAAAAAATTTAATGAATAATTTTCAAAAAAAAAAACGCTCAAAGCCGTCAAATTTTAATTTCATCTGAGCATCTCTTCGAATTTAATTAATACTTACATAATGATTCGTCATCGTTATTTTTTTATGATAACCCCATTTTCCATTAACGGACGCACTGTATATTCAATATCACATGATTACCTATGTGTGATATATTTTTGTATCCAGTGTTTAATTTCGAAATATATGGTCGCGGGCGTCGTTACTCAAACGTGGATTAACCTGTATATTTTTTCCCGATTTTCCCTTATAAATGTGGTAAATTGATATTAAAAATCGCCTTGTTTCAGGTGATTCCTCAGAAGTAGATTGTTTGGCTAAGAATTATTTTATTTAGTACTTAACGGAAGCACTGTCTTCCTTGCCCCGCAGAAACCTATTTAGTATTGTTCTAAATGAAAAATTGTTTTTATTGTTCTCATTCGGTTGCCCTCTTATGAGCAACCGTCAGAAGTCTTCAAGAGACTTTCTCGAGCAAGGAATGACGGGGTCTTACCTTTTAACGTCTGATCCCAAATACTCTCTTAGGCTATCAGAAAAATTCCTGCTGTCGTAGTGGGAATCAAACCCACCTACCGGCAATCCAACGTGGATAGAACATTGACGCTTCAACCACGAGGCTACGCTGGCCACACGTGGTTGATTAACATTATAACAATAAGAATCTGATGTTGAAATATTCAATATACAAGACAGTTCTCAGGATATGAGGACAATAATTTCTTTGTTGTTTTTATCTTTCAGCTTCAAGCGTGCATCTCACTTGAGTCGACATCAGCTAGTCCATACTGGAGAAAGACCATTCGCTTGTGACAAATGCGATAAGGCATTTTCCCGACATGATAAGCTAAAACATCATATATTCAAATCTCATGAGATTGGTGCCCTGAATGAAGCCCTAGGTCCTGATTCATTATATGTGAGTAGACTTATTCTGAACTGTATTATGACACACATGGTAGTTCCCGGTTTCCAATATGACTTATAAACTGGTTTCCCAATGTTGAATCCAAGTTTTCGACTTTGGCACGCCTGTGACTGCCTCGCTATTTTTAATTTCTCAGCACGTTTGGAACGCCGTTGAAGAGAGAAATCCATGACATGGAAAATATACAGGATGTACTATTTGAAGTACCTAAGTATATTCTGAGCTGCTCTGCCGTCGTGTAACCCTCTGTACAATTGACAATATTTTCAAAGTGTATAGCTTGAAAACTGAAGAACTCTAATATTTCATGTTTCCTCTGAATTCAACAGTTCATGAGATACCTGACAAACGAGTTTTGATAATAAAAAGTTGTTTAACATATGTTTTTCTCTGAAAATGTTCATTGCTGATAATGAATTTTCGCACACGTGTCATTTGTCAGTTTGTCATATAACAAGGAAATCAAAATGGCACCTATACGATAACATGACAGTTTGTCATTATTATAGTACCTACGATTTGCAAGGTTATTTGAGTTCGTTCACCTTAAGTTCATTTACTTCACATTTGTCAAAAATTGAAGATCAAGATGGCGTCTCCAAAACGGCAGTCTAATATTTATCAAGACGAAATTATAATTCGAGAATAAATAGAAAAACTTGATATTGAAAGAGAAATATATAGGCACTCGACACAATTTACTCTGTCACCCCAGAGTTTAACTTTTTTCTCAAGAATGAACCAAAATAGATGATTGTATAATTTTGTATGGATCTGTTACAGACAGTTGATCGTGTTGATATTCTGACACCTGAAACCAACATGATCGAATCTCCCGATCCCATCACGCCACATGATGATGATGATCCTGATATAACAGCTACATCTGATCCGAATTGGGATACAACACCAACTCAAAAGAAGCAAAGAGGAAGACCAAGAAAACATCCAGGTGAATATAATGGGTCTTTCACATATACAGGGTTTCTATAAATGATCATAACATCGTAGTGGTCGTTGAAATAGTACCGCTTTCTGCTTCAGAGACCCTGTATAAAAATACGCATGAAGAGGAAACTTCCTTGTGTGATTGAAATTCAAACTGTAAAAATAGGTTGGGTCGACACTTGGTCACTGAAGTTATCTTAGGTATCTTAAGTAATGACATTTTTATATTGACTTCTAATGGAATGTGCATCCCTAAATCGCAAAGAAACTTCAGATTATTATGATTTTCCGTTGACTTTGTATAAACAAGTTTGATGAATGTACACAAAATTGATCCTTATAATGACTCCTATATTGATGATCAGTTTCTTAAATGATGAATGATCATGTTATAGAGAGTATAGGTAACTGGATATCAACGGAGATTTACACTTAACTGGTATCGTGTTTGAATGGTATTGTGTTTTTTCGAAACGTTACTGGTATCATGGGGAATTTTAACACCCAATTTTTTGTTAGGTGACATATACAATAAAAAACTCATGACTTCAAAAATGTTGGTATTTTGTGAAAATATCTGCTCATGAAAACTATGAGCCTTAAAAAAACTCGATTCAAATTTGAATCAACAGAAAAAGATATATCTGGTATGAGTATTAGAAGAGAGCAAAGTGAAAATCTATATTCTTTGGAGGCTGCAAATAGCAATTTAGGAGCAGATAGGTATCCAATCTCTCCCGCGTGTGAAGTTTGATTAAACACACATGGGAGGAAATTAACCTTTGCTCGCAAGATAAATATATATGATTTTATCCACGAACGTATGCAGGGTGGGGCATTAGTTCGTCGGAGCTCGATTTCTAGTTATGGACCTTGTTGTTTCATTCACATTAGTTTTTGAATCAAGTTTCTAGCTATCATAGAACTCGAGCAATCGAGCTCCGACTCACTGATGTCCCACCCTGTATATTTGAGAGCGTCGTTCTTAAAATTGGGCTTTAAGCGGTCATATCTCGAGTCTTGATCCAAATCAATTTGTTACATAATCTAAGGTTTCTCTTAAGTTTCGATAGAGTAATTAGATCATTGGATGGAGACACTGATTAGGTACTTGGGTAGCACACAGATCCATCACAGATCTTATAGTATATCTCTATGAAAGAAGCAATAAAGGCAATTTATCTTACCTTCCACGGGAGGTAATTTTTTTACTTCCCGTGGAAGTAAATTGACAGGTTTGTGTCCTTAAATAAGGAAACAAACGCCTACTTTCGATGCAGTGGGTAGTTGAAATCATTTGAAATATTGGAAAGTAGTCGCTATTGCAGGCTTGTTCTGCAGAGCTCACTTTTAATATTGGATAAAAAAATATTCGATTGATAGTAAAAAAACTGACAGGAGTATAATTTGCACATCCACTCTTTGATTTCAAAATTGTTTTGCAAAGAAATTCACTACGATTTCCTAGATATCACGAACTTAGAATAATACCTGAAACAACAAAGCACCAAGTGAATTGAGAGTATATTTTCGCAAAATTATCACTAGTGGGGTGCCGAAACACCCCACGATACCAGTTAAGGATTAACGTTAACGTTTTTAGAAATATTATGATCCCTCTTTCAATACAAAACAGGAATTATTCTCATTTTTCTGTGACAAGTTAACTCTCATGGCTACTGTGTGGTGGATAAGAGGCCCTTTCGGAAACCTACTCGGGTTGACTTGATCCTCAACCTGCACGTTCGTTTACCGAACCCGATTCGCATACCCGTGTTTGTAAACTTCGGTGTTGCCTACTCAATCACTAACTCAGGTTGGTCTATAGTGACCCTACTCGACAGCAGGGTCATCAAATAAGAAAATGTGGTTGTCATTTTATTCCTTTTATTTTATTTTGGTTTTATTTTGTGTGTTATTCGATCTACGAACTAATTAAATGAAATGAATGAAAGTAAAATTGCAATTTCTACACAATAGCAATTTTCGACAATTGTTCTGATGACGATAAATGATGAGATGTAGGAGGAGATATTACAATTGATGTTGTCTTCTGGTGAAATGAATTGATACTCTCTTAAACGAAGACGAGTGTTTTCAGATCCAACCCTGAGTGATCCAGCATGAGATTCAAGCCCATGGCACTTTTACCTGGCCTATTCTGATTACTTGATTACTTCAATCACAGAGATAAAAAATATACAAAGAAAAATGGGTTGTCATATCAAATTAGAATAAATGGGGATAAGGGAATTGATGTTGGATGTGAGATTTATCCAGATTCAACCTAAACTCAAATTATTCTGGAATCACAGTTCTACCTGAAAAACAACAATTATTCCTATGCAGACGTTGTTGTGTGAGTAACAGTTTCAGTGGAAAATATACTGCTTTCTTCCGTTTGAGTAATTTAAATTTATTTACTTTCTGAATAGGAAATGAAATTCCAGCAACAGTTCTGAAAAGGAACGATTCCTCAAACGAAATCGGTTTAAAATTCTGCCTCTTCAACGTTCAGAGACTGGTTGTCTCCTAACTGAAGAAATCAAACCAATATCTTTCTGAAACATATCAATAAGATTTAATATAAAACTATTTCTTGGAAGTAAAAACATTTTTTTATCTCTTGGAGCGCACGAAAGGGAATCCCTATAGTGAGAATTGTACAGCAAACCAGAGGGAATAATTCAATTATGATCTTCAACTGACTGTATTATATTAATATCTTTTGACAGACTATTAATAATTTCAAACTATAACTTTTTCATAGGTCATCACACCGATGACCATATACAGGGTGTTGAGCTGTGAAATTGGAGCGATAAATGCAATAGGGTTATTGCACCAATACATTTGTTCGAATTTGTGGACTGTATTTAATGACACATTGAGACGAAATCATATACATCGGTTTGCACACAACTATATAACTTTCTGTAATTGATCACAGCTTCCTTCACTCCAGTTATCGGCGCCGAAATTCCAATTTCACTTTCCTTAGACAAGTACCAGGAATCGGAGTTTCCTTAACCACTGGGAAGGGTTGCGGAGCAATATCACACACATACACTAAGTGATCGATCATCGTTATTATGTTAATCGACTATTGAGAGCCAAGAAACAAGAGTAAAGCTTATATCTCTCTATTAACAGGTCCGAAATGTTACCTGTTCAAGCGGTAGTAGTCCATATTCCGCACATCTTGAAAAATGTCGAACTTCACTACCAAAATTCTTTCATCTATAGAACGGCGAAGCTTCGCAATTCTTTGCCAATGGAAGTATTCCCAAGAACTTACAACCTCCAAAAGTTAAAAAAAAATCCAACACCTACCTCCTCTCCCTATCCTCCACGATGTTTCACGAACGTTATAGGAATTTCCTTCCGTGCACTTCAAGAGATGAAAAAAATAGTCCGTGTATCATTTAGGGTACCCCCGGCCTGTGGCAAGCACTACGTGGTGTACCCATCATAAGTGATACAGCTGGCAGTGAATGTGTGAACGTCCGGAAACATTGCCTTCCAGTGCTTCTAACCTCGCTGAAAACGAGTGTTTGGGTTCGACTATCAACCTCAGATCAATGATGTATAAAAGTTTCAGAACAAACTTTGCAATATCGCCAAAACCTTTTTTTTTCTGACGAAAATATATCATTTCGTTTCGTTTTCAATGTTCTATTACCCACTTCATTTATCGCCCCAATTTCGGAAACACTCTGTTCAATAATATACACACCCTATACTAGTTTCTTGATAGCTCAATAGTAATGGGCGTGTACACCTTAGTAGAACTTTCAACTCAAACCACGTTTATAATGATCCTTTTATACATACATAATGATTGACGACATTCGATCGAAAAATTAACTGGAATGTTTTATTTACCTTCTGAAAACGGGCCCTCTTATGACGTAGAAACCTCATCTCGCCATAGTTAAAAGAAAATACCAAACGCCACTGATATATTAATTCTTTCAACTGTGATTTCGCGCTAATTCACTCTGTCAGAAATCATGTATCATTCATCTCTGTCTGGAATGGTCTTGTTTCAGTATTAGGGTTTTGACGTCACATCATCGCCTCGTTTTCAGAGGTCCGAAAAATCGGGGATTTCAATATTTTTTTATAAAACGTAAGGAGCTCACAGCAAGAAACGGTTTGCGGTGGTGAGCTAGTTAGGGTGAGTTCTATCGAATTATGAAATAAAATTTTTTTTTCTACGACTGCTATGAAAAGTAGCGTAATTCTCATGGCTTACTCAATTTCAAAACCACGAATTGCTCATACCTGTGAGAAATATTATTTCTCACAGCACTTTGCCAACACCACGCATAGTAGGTAGGTACCTTTTATATGGAGAATCAACTAAAATCGACAAAAACTTAGTTGGCCGCTGTTGTCACGAACAACTGTCAACAGAATTTATTTCAATTTTTGAGGTAGTTATCAATCGTGTTTCGATAAAAAATCGCAATTTCATTGAATATTAGTAAGACATAATATACATATTTGTACCAGTGATAGGTAAATAATATGGAAACTTATGAAAGCAGTGACGATTTTGACAATACTCCACCAGAAATATTGGAACAAGCGGCAAAAGTAACATTAGATTTGTTGCCGGAAATTTCCCGAAAGAAGTATGAATTGGCATATGGGAAATTCATGGAATGGAGAAGAAATACGAAAATAAAATCGTTTTCGGAAAGTGTACTTTTGGTATACTTCGAAGAAATGTCGAAAACTTTGAAGGCGTCAACACTTTGGTCACAATATTCGATGTTGAAAAGTACCATCAGTATTAAACATAACATTGATATATCCACGTATCAAAAATTACGTGCATTTTTGAAAAGAAAGTCTGACAATTACTTCCCAAAGAAATCAAACATATTAACAGCCGACCAATTGCAGAGATTTTTAAAAGAAGCTCCAAACAAGGAATATCTACTAATAAAGGTGGGTTTATTATTTAAATTGAACTATTTTTCGAATTTCTTCCGCTTTTTTCCTCGAATTAACAGCTTTTTATAGTTAGGGGGTGTATTCAGTAGGTAAAAATAATTAGATAATCTTCAAAAAGTCAATTTCATATTGTGGAAGATGAGTATATGCCTATGAATAAATATTTTAATAACTACTCCGTGGTGTAGTGGTAGTGCTTCCGCTTAGGATACTAGCGGCCCGGGGTTCAATACCCGGCCAGGGATGATATATTTTTTTAATTATATAAATGATTTTACATCCTGATATTTTTATTTGTAGGTTGCAGTGGCTATTGGCGTAGCAGGGGCATGTCGTAGAGATGGACTGTGGAAATTAAAAGTCGATGATTTAGAGGATCTAAATTCGGCTTTGTTGGTGAAATTAGATAACACCAAAACAAAGAAGCCAAGAACTTTCACTGTAACGGGGGAATTTTATAATATATATAAAAAATATGCCGCTCTTCGACCGAATGATTTGGCAGAAAAACGTTTCTTCTTGAATTACCAGAACGGAAAATGTACTAGACAAGTAGTCGGCATCAACAAATTTGGTAGTATGGCAAAGAGAATTGCAATTTTTTTAAAATTGGAAAATCCCCATTTATATACAGGACACTGCTTCAGACGTTCTTCGGCAACAATTTTAGTAAATGCAGGAGGTGACATATTAACCTTAAAGCGCCATGGAGGATGGCAATCCAGTACCGTGGCAGAAGGATACGTCGGAGACTCTATTAAAAATAAAATGGACGTTGCAAATAAAATCGTCGACTCTATTGAAAAACCAGTAGAACTATTCACTGAAATGGAGACAGAAAATGCACCACTGTACATAAATAATCAACCTTCAACTTCTACTTCTACAATTAATATAACAGAAAATTTACTCAAAAACAATGACTTTCCTGGTTTGACCATACAAAATTGTAAGAATTTCACAATTAACTATAATTTCAAATGAATAATTCAACTGTTAAGAGGTAGGAAACTTGTTATTATGTTATGTTATTTTAGTTCTGCTATAACCCATAAAAAATAAAAATTGAGTTACATTGTTCTTTGAATATGTGCAGTCGTAGAAAAAGTATAGTGTGCAACATGTGGGGAAAAGTACTTTCCTCACTCGTGAGAAAAGTTGAACTTTTCCCACTTGTTGCACAATATACTATTGTGATACAAGCCCATTAAACCTTGGGAGATACCACCTGTGAGATTTTCTATCTGATAAACTAACCGCACTTCAAGCAAATACTACTTCCATAACGTTTGTGATAACTTTTTTTTTCAGTTCCTCAACCTGGTAAACGGCCAAGAGGACGACCTAGGATCAATCCCATTCGTAAGTTACATTTGAATTGTGGTATTCTAGTTTATTTTCAGTAATGTAGTTGGGGTTTCTGAAATACTAAGTATCGAGTTTGTAGATATATTATGAGTTTCACCTTCTGCATATTTTATTCGATTATTTACATAGAAATGAGCTCTTTGTGGGGTCGAAAGGGCAGTTATTATTATTTTTTATGTGAATAAAAGATACCTACCACAATGTTTTTATCACTTGTAGCGATACCTTCATTGGTCAAACGTCCAAGAGGTAGGCCAAGGCTCAATCCTATTGGTAAGTCTCAATTAGTCATAAAGTTGTTATGGAACTGCAATTTCGTGACCATCAAACATATTTGGGCTTCTGGAGTTTCCTAATAAGATAATGGGTTCGGTTTTCTGCTCAGTTTTAATCGATTTCCATTAATTAATCTTCCATAAGAAAATATCTTGCTTATTGCATGTTATACGTTATTGGAAACATAATATATCGCCATATAATCCTTAGGTAGCTAAGTAATACAGGGTTTCGTTTCTGTAAGTAATTGTAACATCGTAGTGGCCCTTGAAATATTTTCCGACATGCTGCCTTCCACTTTTAGTTTTCTAAGTAAATACAGTATGATGCAAATGTATGGAATGAATACATTATTTCAAACTCAGGCGAGATTCGAAAAAGAAATCAAAAACACGTAAGTTATTTGAACCTTTTATCACTTGTCACGCAGTCATTCTGTCATGTATTCTGCCATTTCATCCTGTCATGTAATTCTGCACTTTCTGATGTTTTACCTATTCTTTGCTTTTGGCTGTTGTCAAATGGCCACCAGTGATGATGAAAGATGAAACTCTTGTTGAGTGAATTTTGATTCATAATTTCAAATTTTCAATTCCTGCTTGTACTTTCGGCTATTTTGTCGATTAAAAGAACAATATACTCAATTAACTGCCTGATTTTCCGGTTTTTGACCTAGCTTTTAGTTAAGCTTATTAGCCACATGTCTTCTTAGGTAACTTTTTTCCTTAATATACTCAGTTCCAAAAAAAGTGACGCACTTGATATTTGACCTATCTTCTTAAAAAAAAAAAACGAAAAAATAGTAGGCCGATTTTTATTTTTATTTGTTGGTAGGTAATGCATTTGTCTTAAAAAAATAAAGAGGTGAAAATTTTTCCAAAGCCTCCTTGATGGTGGTGGAATAACTCGAACCATGATTTATTCTCAATTTTTGACTCACCCTGTGTGTTAATTGAGTAATGGTATACAAAGTGCTTGCACCCTATACGAAAGAGGCTTCTTTTGCGAGCATTTTGTTTTTTTATTCATTGATCTATCTCTAAAATTTTCCGAATTACAGCTGTTTTGCTGATACCTTACGCTTATCCCAAAAATTGAATTTATTGAAGGATCAGAGTACTCAAAATTGGTTGGGTGGTAGGATCATATTGTCTTTAGAAAAACAAATGCCGTTGCCATAGCAACTAATTTGTTGTATGCCTCCATATTTGACCATTTGTCGTTGTGTCATTGATTAAGTGTCTTGTTTTATTGACTAAAATAACATAAAATGCCTCAAATGAATCCTGAACAAGTAGCAAGGTTAGTTGCGTTAGTAAACGATGGGCGTAGTAAACGTTACGCCGTTCGTGCAGTGGGAGTTCATGAAGCAACTGCTCGTAGAGCAATCCGCAAGTACGAAAAAACAGGAACCACTGCTCGGAGGGTCGGTTCTGGTCGCCCCCGAAAAACTTCTCCAAGAGATGATCGCTTCTTGAGATTGCGGATTTTACGGAATCGATCAAATACTGCGGTAAATGTTCAGCATGATCTTCGCCAAATTCGTGATGTTGCAGTAAGTAAACAGACGGTATGTAGACGTCTAAAAGAAGTTAATTTAAAAGTTAGGAGAGCTGCAAAAGATCCCAAATTATTGCCCGAACATCGTGCTGCTAGAAGAGATTTTGTTGAAAATTATGGACAGTGGAATATTCCTGAATGGTCGAATGTCTTGTTTACGGATGAGTCAAGGTTTTGCCTTAACATGGTGGATGGAAGAAAAAGAGTGTGGAGAAAAACTGGTGAACGGTTTAATCAAAATTTGATAACAGAATGCGAAAGTTTTAATGGTGGGCCCGTTATGGTGTGGGGAGGGATTTCAATGAATGGAAAGACACCCCTTCATGTTTTTCCGGCGAGGAAGTCGATGAATGCCCAAATTTAAATTGACATTTTAGAGCAGTATGTCTTACCTTATGCAGAGTTAGTGGGCAATAATTTTATATTGATGCAGGATAATGCCCGACCACACACCGCAGCAATAGTGCGAAACTTCTCAGAAGGTACTGTTATTACCACATTACAATGGCCTGCAAGAAGCCCCGATATGAATCCTATAGAACATTTGTGGGATGAATTAGGGACAAGGGTACGTTCTCGCGAGAGGTCTCCGGAAAGTCTCGCAGAATGGGATCGTATACGAATGGAAACGATAAGCAACTTAATTTCCAGTATGCCTCGTATATTAGAAGTTCTTTGAGTTGCTAGAGGAGGCAATACTCGGCATTAAGCAGTCATCCCAATTTATAATTTTGTGTTTAATAAAAATGTTTTTTTGAAATTATTGGTATTGAGATAAATCAATGAATAAAAAAACAAAATGCTCGCAAAAGAAGACTCTTTCGTATAGGGTGTAAGCACTTTCTATGCCATTACTCATTTAACACACAGGGTGAGTCAAAAATTAAGAATAAATCATGGTTCGAGTTATTCCACCACCATCAAGGAGGCTTTGAAAAAATTTTCACCTCTTTATTTTTTTTAAAAGACAAATGCATTACCTACCAACAAATAAAATAAAAATAAAAATTGGCCTACTATTTTTTTTTTTAAGAAGATAGGTCAAATATCAAGTGCGTCACTTTTTTTGGAACTGAGTGTAATTCATTGTCTATTTGTACTTTCCTAATCTTTACAGGTATTTTATGTGTCTGAAGATGGCCGTTGAGCCGAAACTAGTCACAAACTTGATTTGTTGATATAATTTTTGTGGTCGACCGACTGTGTTATACTGTTTATTCTTTGAAAAAATGTTGGACCACTTTGAGAAGGATGGATGGTTTCCATGACTTAATAATTTATGTAATGTACTAAGTCGCCAATGGTCACCGAGAACGGACGCTTGCTGAGGTGGAAAACTTAACCGTCAATAAAATCCTAGGTTTCATCAGAAGCCTGAGGTTATATCGTCACTACATCGTCGTTTGGCACCCTCCAGGGTACTGTCATCATCTATCTGGTGGTATATGAGAGAAACTGTTTTTTTTTCTCTGAAGAAGACAATTTTTTTCAAAATACGCATGGTCTATTTTCAACTTGCTCTAGCTCATCAGTTAGTTCTACATTCATGAGCAAGAAAAATTATATATTGAAAATTTCACCTTCTCCAACTTTCCATGGAATGGTAGGTATTTTTGCTAAAATGTACAGTTTCTGAGTTACGGAACAAAAACTGAAAGAGTGCGAGAATTTCGCTACGAATATCTCGGAACGCTCCAGAGAAATTTGTTTACAATTTCAGATTCAAATTCAGCACCCCCAAAAACATATAAAACCGTAGAGAAATCGACTACTTGCATTTTTCCCACGTGCAAACTATTGGACTAATAGGTAATCGACGATTTTTTTAAATACATTAATGTATACAAGGTGAACCAAAACTGTTTATTTATTGTAATACACTGGAATGTTCAAATTGATGAACTTTAGTAATGATGCAATGTTGAAGCTGCGCAGAAGATTCTTCTAGAACGTTTTCGAGAAGTGCAGGAGTAATTTCTGCATTATTCGTATCAATGTGTTGCTTCATAATATATTTTATTATCTCCACAGCAAATATGAATTGAAATTTCGATTACCTAGTTTGGTTTTTGTTGATCACATTGCTTAAATATGAGCAAACTTGAATGTTTTTATGAAATTATGAAAATAATATCAAACAATTCAATGATAACTCCTTCATGACTAATTTCAACTTACGAGTTCATAACTTTCTCAATTAGTGTTTTTTTTTGAGTAGACGATGTATAATTTCCAGTAGTGGACAGTACAAAATCAGTTCAACAAAGGAGCATTCATTGTAATTTCAATCTTCTAATACCACATTTTGATTGAACCTGTAGATATACCTACTGTCTGTAGGTTAATCGAGGAAGTGGTATATTCATTATCCCAGATTTTTTGGAATTTTTGAATAAACGATCAGTAGACCTTTCAAATGAGGCGACACATGACCCCTGTTTTCATTTGAAAAAATCTTACATTGCGTAATTACTCCAACACCGGTGACCTAACATATCTCATATGAATATGATAAGGTGAGGCTTCAAAAATTATAACCCACGAATTTTTGGATTTTTTTTCAAAAGTCGCTCAGTTCTGAAATAAAGAACTCTTTTATACATTTGCATTATACTGTATAATACACTCTTATTTCAAATCTGACTATCATTACTGTCTCTTAGCTCAAAGCAGGAAGCAAAAAATGAAAAAATATATCAGAACAGTGAATTTGAATCATAGTATTTTATGGTAACATGTAGTATGTACAGTCGTCTTCAGAGATCATGTCGCGGTTGGACGGTGTCAGCGCTCTTATAGCAGTAATTATTGAGAATAATAGCATCGTCCATGTGCGACATTTTTCTGAAGATGACTGTACAGGATTCGGCACAATGATTTTATCATTTTCAAAACGCTAAAAACGCTGAACATTTACTAGAATCAACCGTACATATTCAGTAGTCATTAGTTATCGCCGAGGAAGTTTCAGGTAGTCAAGGCAGCTTTAACTGAATGGGGTTGTCGACCACTTACGCTAGCTAAGTACATGAGTCGTATCTTATACAGCGTGGGTCACAGTCGATAGTACTTCAGATGTTTATGGAGAACGGGACATAGGATCAATCTGAAAATTTGGTTACTCAAGTAGCTGCTCTTGGTCTATCGATCTGAAATATTTCCAGCAATGCAGCGTTGTTGGTTATACCAGAAAGTAGTAGCAACTTTGATATTTCAAATGGAACACCCTGTATTTCATTGCATTTTAAGATTCTCTCTGAAGAACTGATCTCATCCTGTGGTATCACACTTTGGGTCCAGCGGAAATAATTACAGATATATAGTGTTCAAAACCTAGATTCTTCAACTACAGTTTTTTTTTGTTTCTCAATTTTGAACCGCCATGTATTTGTTCCAAATAAATATCAGTAGATAGTGAATCATAAGTTGAGATAGGG